AAAATTTGAGACGTGAATCACTCCGGCGACGAAAAATCGGCGATAATAGCCAAGGGGGTGAGGGACTGCATTTCAAAAACATATTTTATATAAAGGGTATATAAATATAATAAAATGTAATATTATAATTTGCTTTATCTGTAAAGTGTAAATTCCTATTTTTTACTGTAAATGGAATTTTCATTTTATTTTGTAAAATGTCGCTTTTATTTCCTGTATCCCCCTTGCCCCCCCCCCTAAATAGAATGTTACAGGGCGTCAAAATAAACTGATCTGATTGCAATATTCCCAGAAACATTGTTAACATGGGTAGACACAACATCTACACTTGTACGTTTGTCAGTATTGGTATCCTCGGGGGCGGAGCTACGTCACAAGACGTTCCACATTGCTACGACGCGCACCACTGTACATGCATTTCTATGGGTTCTGTGCGCGCTGCTCTGAAACGCTGGTCGAGCCGGTGAAAATTAGAGAAAACAACACAAACTCAACTTTGAAGTAACCACATTTATATATGTTACACACGTAGGGCTAATCTTGTTACACTGTTCAGGGGACTCTCAACAACCATCCCAAAGTACCGTTTTCTGCGAGTTTTGGGCTTTTGTTTTCACCGCGAGGGTTGCCAGGCGGTGAAAATGCCCGGATGTTCGCCCCGAGGATATGCACAAGACCTCACACTGCAAAGTTATAGTCTATGCTGTGTTTAATTAAAATTAAAGGGCGGTAGTTGTCGCGCCACGCATGCGTGAGATATACGAGTTTCATATAAACAAAGATGGCGACTTTCGCTATTGCGCAGATCAACGAGTACAAACTGAGACATTACCAAACTTTAATTAGGTATTTTTTTAGATGATTGGAAGTTATCGAAGGGGTACAGTCGCCCAGGTCAAACCTCATACTTGTGATTTCCATGAGAAGAGCGCACTGGATTGTGGGAAATCAATGTTTATTAACACAAATGTCAACCATGCGCGGCGCGGCGTCCACCGCGCTTTAAAATATCCTGGTTAACACAATATACAAATTGATTTATTACAAACTTGTTCCAAAATATTATTACTAATAAATAATTTATAAGCCCAAATTTCAGACCCATATATTTTAAAATAGGTGTGATTATTTGATTAAACATTTTTTTAACAGAGAGAAAACGACATCATTTAATGACTTAAAAAAATGACTTCACTCCTATTATATTATTACAACTATTACCTGGTAGTTGAATTAAGATTTTTTATTCATACTAAATATCATAACTTTATAACAAGTGGTGAATTTGTCTTCACTCTTTGTTAGTACATGTGTGGACAAATTTCGAAAACATAGATTTATAATTTCACCTGTGTGTGTTCTTTCACATCTGTATCTTGCACATGTCTGATCATGTTCTAACTTCACACATTCATCTTACATTTCGGGGTACATGTGAATTCATTTCATGGTATGATTTGAGATGACCAAATGGTGGCCATTTGAGTGATAAAATCAAACATTTCTGCAATCCCGGAACTGGATTTTGGATGTGCATCGACTGATTTCATTCAAACTTGATACATAGATATTATGGAACCTTGTTGCATGCAACTTTCATTAGTTTGAAAATTGGCAGACTGGTGGCCATTTAGTTTTAACGAATCAACTGATCAACATATCTTGAATGAATGACATGGCGTGTAGGAATGGAATTCTCTCCACACCTTATGACTCACCACACATGCAGACTTAGTTTCGGACATGCCTTGACTGACCATTTTGGAACTTTACACATACATGACTTCTTGAAACATATGCACACAGGCACATTCGTTTTGTAAACTGATAAATGATTTTTTTCTAATTTCAGAACCAGATCGCGGAGAAGTACAGATTTTGTTCAAACTTGGTATCCACAGTGAACATTATTGTAGCTTGATGCATGTCAATTTGTTTTTAATTGGATTCAAAATGGCCGACTGGTGGCCATTTTGCTTTAAAAACAGCTGTTCTTGAGATACATCTCTATCTTCAAACACACCATTTGTTCCACGACCCAATTCAAGATGGTCAAAATTATTTCAAACATTGGTAAACTGGATCAATTCAAATTTTACATATGCATTTATATAGCAGGTTAAATTCTGACTCAAAATGGCCGACTACTTTCAGTTTCATTTAACTATTTCACAACTGAATCTGAAACACTCAGTCAGAATGAAATCGAAAATTTCATAATAATACACAATGAAACCAACCAGCAAGTGACTGTTTTTTTCTGTCTATCCAATCTACCATAATTCATAAGTAATGTACAAGTCAACCAGAAACAAAGCCATTAATATGGGTATTTAATACTTGTTTGTTTATTTCACGTTAATTTTATGAAAAGGTAACAGTGGTTACTGCTGCTTTTGAAAAATCTATCCCCCCCACTCATTTTTACCAAATGTTACAAACTCATTAGAAAAAAAAAAACTTAAATACAAATAATCATTATTTTAAATAAATTCATAAGAATTCATTCGTTTTAAATTAAATCAATCAAAAAATAATCCTGAATTTATTTTTGCATATAATTGTGAAAATATATTATATAAATTTCCTACTACTGTAAAATCTGTATTAGAAGCCGCGGTTTCTATTAAAATGGTACAATGCAACAGAAGGGATGCGGCTTCTATTAGAGCATCTACACTTATGAGAAATAATGAATTTTTGTTCTCAATTGTTAAACAAGAATGGGTGCGACTTCTATTAGGGTTTCGGCTTCTAATACAGGTTTTACGGTACTATTTGATACAATTCCGTCCACAAAGGATAATCAACAATTTTAATTATTATTATGTCTAGACTTGTGAAAACTGTTAAAATACAATTAAAAAGGGAAGTGGTTGTTGTGACATGAGTTTAATATTGGTTCCACACAATGCACTGTTATTATACACTGGGTTTTAATTTAGCTTATTTTGCTGACTGGAAAATGTGCTAAATTAAAACCCAGTAAATATGTAATATTTAGCATAGAACACATTATCTAATGATAAAATCATAAATTTAAAACCCACTGAATATGCCTGAAATGCTAAATCAGTGAAATTTAAACCCAGTGAAAATTAGTCATTTTACAGTATACAACATATTTATTTAAAATATATTGTTTGTTTGAATGAGCACCGCACAACATAAACCACCCTTTAATCATAAAATTGGTTTTGTTAATCACACCAGTAGTCGTGGTGTTTAAGCGTAACATCCACACTCACAGTTAACATAATGTAAACGCTGAAGGCCAAGTGACATTTGCTGATCTCAAATGTAGCTGCAACACTGAACATAAACTGGCAAAGTCGGGACTTTTGTTTTACAAAAAGAAATAATTAATTGTTCTTTTAGTCCTTTCAGCGTGATCGCGAAAACTAACTGTGGTTTTCACTTCAACGCAGGGGTCACCTGCAGATGCGTCCAGTCAGGATTTTTTTCGCAGTCACACTAGTTTTCGCGATCACGTTAAAAAGGCAAAATTGACAATCAATCATACTTTTTTGTAAAATCAAAAAAGAAGTCCCGAATTTGCCAGACTACACTGAACACAACGAGCTGTGATTATGGACTTATACCATGACAACCCAATGAAAACACAACATAAATACACAAACTACCATTGATGTCAGAAGACTGGTATTCAATTGCATAAAAACAATAGGCTCTATTAAGTGCTTTGTCATACTTATCAGGTACCATGTGATCGCGAATGTATTTTTCAAACAAAAAACATTTTCATTTGCATAGCTATTCTAACCAAATCCAAATACCAAAGTCATGCTTGAAACGGCTTGGCCAATATTTTTCGATACAGGAAGAATTCTCTATTCATGTCGAAAACTCCAAACCTTATCCTAGCACTATGTTCAGAAATGCCTGACACTAAAAAGTGTGCTAATAACTAATTTACATAAGTATGACCAAAACTGCGGTTGTTACTAATATGCATATTAAAAACAAAATGGTGATGAGGAGAGAGATTTGATGAACCTCTTTTTTTAAAATTGGAAAATTGTTTTAGAATAAATTTGTTATCCAAAAATACCATGAGTGAGACTTGGTGCTACCAAGATTTATAAGATTATACTACAAGTTTAACTGTGACAATGCCAGCAGTACCACAATAAATAAATATAGTCATATTTTAATCCACTTTCTCCATTTCCTCTCCAATATTTATATAATTTCTTGAACCTGTGAAAAAGAAAAAAAATCAAACGGTCAAATCATAATCATAACATCACAGAAAAGGGTCAAATCATAATCATAACACCACAGAGAAGGGTCAAATCATAACACCACAGAGAAGGGTCAAATCATAATTATGACACCACAGAGAAGGGTCAAATCATAATCATGACACCACAGAGAAGGGTCAAATCATAATCATGACACCACAGAGAAGGGGTCAAATCATAATTCTAACACTACAGAGAAGGGTCAAATCATAATCCTAACACTACAGAGAAGGGTCAAATTATAATCCTAACACTACAGAGAAGGGTCAAATTATAATCATAACACCACAGAGAAGGGTCAAATCATAATCATGACACCACAGAGAAGAGACAAATCATAATCATAACGCTACAGAGAAGGGTCAAAACATAATCATAACACCACAGAGAAGGGTCAAATCATAATCATGGCACCACAGATAAGGGTCAAATCATAATCATGACACCACAGAGAAGGGTCGATTCATAATCATGACACCACAAAGAAGGGTCAAATCATAATCATGACACCACAGAGAAGGGTCAAATCATAATCATAACACCACAGAGAAGGGTCAAATCATAATCATGGCACCACCGAGAAGGGTCATATCACAATCATGGCACCACAGAGAAGGGTCATATCACAATCATGGCACCACAGAGAAGAGTCAAATCATAATCATAGCACCACAGAGAAGGGTCAAATCATAACCATGACACCACAGAGAAGGGTCAAATTATAATCATATCAGAAACAAAATATCACATAGAAAAGACAATCATAATTATGAGATCAGGAAGAACTAGCATCAATCACAACATCACAGAATTACTATGTTACTCACCCCATAGGCCTTTGTTGAGTTTTTCTCCAATTATATATAAAGATAATAGAAAAACTGCACAGAAAGCAAAGAATAAAACAAAATATGCCCCTGATAAAACTTTAAGGAATC